CCAAGCTACAACTCGCCAAAGAGACAAGCGAAGTTACAATGGATTGCCCTTGACCAACTTTCTACGGAGAGATTGTGCTATCGCTCCTCTTACTGTCCTGGCCCATCTATCTACTCCCTGCCCTCTTAGCACACTCTCACCTTTTTATATTCAATTCTTCAAGAGGTATGCCCTTTTTTGGCGAGTTTAGTGTGGCGTCATCTGATGTTTACCTGATGATCCTGGCGAAAGTTAAAAAGGAGTTTAAAATTGCAGAACCAAGACTTTACCTCTAGGCCAGTTTAATATCTAAATTAAATCGGATTATGAGAATAAGATATTTTTGAGAAATTGTTTGTGCAGACAAAATTACAAAAAAATTATATATATTTTTGCTTAAATATGACAATATGCAGACAAAAGGCGCACATTACAGATAGCAGTGGATGAAGAAAGACATTTACAGGAAATTGTGCAAAGATAAGCTTTGTTATTCCTGACTTTTAGAGCCAAATTAGTGAAAATATCCCAACTCATTTAAATTAAAATAATGATCAAGCACATCAGACTTTAGGGGCATTCTGTAGGAAGGTTACACTAGATCGTCACATAAATAAGAGGATTGGGCAACGGGGAAAGCAACTCAGTCAGGTTTTTCTGGAGAAGAATAGGACTCTTTTAGTGTTTCGAGATAGTTGCCTCAATTGCTCCCTTTATTTCGATGTGAGTGGCTTGCGAGACTATGAGTAACTCGAGAATAGGAATTAATCATACTAAGATGACTCAGGTACTAATAGTTGAGTTTTCCTAAAATCAGATGAACAGGCCTCACGATGCCATTATATTTCACTTAATCATGTGTTACAAAAGCTTATCTCATTCGGGAAGGACTGAAGTGCTGGGTCTCATCAACACCCCTGGCGAGATTCGATGCCGGGTTGTAAGCATCCGTGCAACGTTAAAATGCCATTGCACTGCATGGTCACGGGTGGCAGTGGGTCACAAGGCTTAAGCGACATTCAAGGATAACCAGCCTCTCCTAGCTCACATGTATAGTGGGATTTTTGATTAGGCAAGCATGTGTTGCCATGACAACTTATGACGTAGTTAATTTCAAAAGAAGCATCTTTGGATATTATCATTAATTCTTGAACAAGAACTTAGTCATCCTAGGTAACTTAAGTAAGATATTGAATCTCGTCTAGCGTATTCCAAAGTGCAGAGTAAGCCAATAGAGCGGGGATTGATATCGTTTAGCTGCGATTAAAACTGAACTTGAGCTACAATGGGAGAAATATAAGATCTATAGAAAATCTGCTGCAAGGTCCTATTGCAAATTAGAAAATTGCCTAATAGCATAACACTATCCTGGCCAATATGCGAAATTCAAAACTAGCACAGCTTGATATCACAGAGAAAAAGGCTTTTATGCTGGCATAACTTTACTGGTCTACAGTAGTCTAGCTAGTTCATCCCTGAAAGGCTCTTAAAGATGATAGCACAGAAGCATATGTAACATCTCTTACATGCCGTGTAAGCCAATGGTTCTTGTTGCTGCTTTTTGGTGGTGCAAATGTTCTCTGGGGATGTTGAACCTTTGCCACCGCAGTCTGGATATTTTCTGAGTCGGCAATCACAAAAGATGGTAAAGTAACCTGAGGCTCTTCTATCGATTTCCCAGACGCTCCTAAACCACATGCTCGCACACGCCGAATTCGATTCGACTGATTGCGCCGATGAGTGTTGGCGCCAGCGCCGAAACCCGGGCTACATGGCTCTTCGCCCGAAGAGCAGGGGGCAGCTATGAGTGGAGTGGGAATAGATAAATAGATAAAAACATATATATATATATATTGTGTGCAATTTTCACGGAAGACGTGTGGCGAAAAAATTTCTTCCCTCATGAAAACTCACTGGATGGAGAAGAATCTAACAAAAGGTGATTGGCCTTTAAGACATTATTAAATTTTAGAGGGCTCATTTGTCCCACCCATATTTTCGGCCCGCAAATTTTAAGAACTCCAGAGACATTAATTTAGGCTCTACGCGTGAACGAAGATCAAAAAAATTTTTCGTCCATCTTATGATGCTTAGGAAGGGATAGTTAAAGTTCCATAATGCAAAAGAGGACTCTCAAAAGAATCTATTGCTGCGAAAAAACAAATGTTAGGATACACAAAATCTTTCAAAATATATACTAAGTGTAAACGTAAAAGATTTTCTGTACATTATCAGACAGACTTTGAAAATAAGCAGGAATATCAATAAACACTTATATGATTGATCATTTCCATATAGGAGTGATATTAATAATATGAAATATAAAGAGGAGAAAATGAATGAGTTATCCTAGCTCTTTCAGTGTTCATATTTCATTCAGACCTCAGCCACATACTTCACACCAATTAAGAAGTGTGAGACTACCTACAGTTGCCTTATGAGCAGATTGGTTGAATCCTTATAGCCATTGCCTCCATAATAGGATATGATAGACTGATTTTTTATGTATACAATTTCAAAATCGTTTAGACAAAAAACGCGATGATTTGATTCTACCAAATTCCTCTTGTGCTTGTTGTGATAGGCTGACAACTTGACGTACGCAGACAGGTTTCTGATTTCATTGAGAGTTTTAGAGAGACCCGAAATGAAATCATCCTGAATTAAAAAGCAGTTTTAAAGGCAAGGCTAATCGAGATCAAATGGTATAATGAAGCATTTTACTAATTTAACTGTGGCAAATTTAACTATAAGTCCTTAAACCCCCCTAGGCGACTCGAGGTCGCCTGGGTTATAACGCTTAAAAGTAAGAAACGATCTGTAAAAATTCACCTTTTATGGAATTTGAGAATATTTATTAATCAAATAGCAAAGAAAAATTTATTCTATAGATGGCTCCGTCGGTAATTGTATCATCTTCATTATTGCATTATAATAGAACTTTGTAAAGAAGCTCAAGTACAAATATTTAAAGGTCAAGAAAGTCTTTGTATGTGCTTCTTTATCAAGGCTTTTTAACAGATAATAGCCTTCTCACTATTTATACAAATTCATATTTACCTCAAGCATTTGCATCTTACTTGACAAAGGACATGAAAGTGGTTCGATCTCGTTTCGCAACTTGGTATTGCATACATACAACGGACACGCTACCATGACGTTAAAACAAGCCTTAGGATAATAGGAGCATACGATATTTTATTAACAAATCCGCTCCCCTTATCGCATCAACTTCACTTGACCACATGCATGTAGGACACGCATAGAGCAGCCAACCGAATCATGTAATGCCTCATTAGGATGGCAAAATGAGGTATAATAGGTAAGTAGACTTTCAGTTGGCCACCTTTCTTGGTTTTGTGTTTTGGGTGATTGTTTCCAAGCAATTTTCTATGGCTTTGACCATGTCTGTTACATGACATGTTATCACACAGCACAGATGGATTGGGGTCGCGGGAGTGTGAGCTAAGCTCTTCTTCGCGCAATCAAACAGACACAAGTCAAAGGCAACCATCCTTCGGTATCCGATGGGGAAATTTTACGAATCCCTTCCGTCCGCCTTATTAAACGAAATGAAAGGTATGCGAACATCAATATAAGGGATTCTTGGAAATCCAGTTTCTATTCATACAAATAGAGTTATGCCGAAATTCAAAGGCACTTTGAATATTTTTTCATTATTAAAGGATTGAGAAGAACATTTTTTTAAATCGCAGGCGTCAAAAACTGACGTTTCTAATCAAACACTAAACGTCCGATTAATTCGCGATCTCTAGCATAAACTTAATAGAATTAAATAAAAGTCCGAAAGGCACTTGCTAGCGTGCTAAGAATGAATAAATGCAAAAAAATCTTTATTTTTACTGTAGAGTTTACTTAATGACCAAGTTACTTTGTAGGTGCTGGTAGCTAATATGAACGCGGCAATCTAAGAAGGGAGAGCTTTATTATTGAATTCCAGAAATATATGTATTCCAAAAGTGCGATTAAATTCTGAAAGAATTGTAATTTCAGCCTTTTCAAGAATTCATCAAAACTTTGGGATATATTTATATTCGAGACGTGCTTGTATTCAGCCTAAAGTGGAGTACTCAAATAAGAAAGAACCTTGGAAACAAAAGTCGAACGCTTGCATGCATACATTCGCAAGCAAGCTTAATCGGCATTGATTTTTGATATAGCCACATTATGGCACTTTGTGAATATGAAGTTATACCAAAGATAAGGCTCTGCCCTGAAATTGTGACACGATAGAATAAAGCTTAGAGCCATTTGTCAAGTGTAGCATATAGCTTAAATCCTCACAACACTGAGATTATTGAAGATAGTTAATTCCAAACAAGTTTTAGAAATTACCAGAGCCCCGCGACCAGCCCATGGATTTACGTTCGGCTTGCGCTGGATTCGATGGAAAGCCGATTGCTTCAGATCCGCTCTCTTGGCCACTGCCTGTATCAGATGACACAGATCCGGCAAGCCAACTGGCGGAACAGCTGTCACCTCCACTGCTACTTTGACCAAAGCAGTCTTCGCAATAAGTGAAGGATGAGATGGGGCAAGTAGTATGATGGTACCGATGTGACTGTTCATGATTGGAGTGTTGACTCCCATGGCCCTGATGGCCGACCCCCAAGTGACCAGGCAGCAAGTTAGATTGAAGACATGTCCAGATGGCTAGCACGCCCGCAAAACCAAGTTCTATTGCTGCAGTTGCAGATCCTCCCAGGGTGGCAATAGAGCAGGGCCGTGGACGACGATGAGACAATTGAATCATGCCATGCAAACAAGCATATTCGAGGCGCCAACGGACCTGCATAAGAATAATTTAGAATAAACTGGTGGAAGCGAGCTGATAGAACAATGGAAAAGTGTTTTTAAAGAATAAGAACATTAATTTAAACGTAGTAAAAAAAGTAATGTGGCAAAAAACATAAAGACACATAGGATATTCAAAGCGAGTATATACTTCGAAACTATCAGTAATTCCTGAATAAGAACTTAGTCCCCTTAGATCGCTTAAAGTGATCTAAGCATTAATTATGGATTTCCTCCTACAATAATATTAATAGGCCCCAAGATACCATTGAATTTCACATAGCCTTGCCTCCGAAAGGCCTTTGCTATCATAAAGCCTATTAATAGTACCACTTCAAATGACTCAAGTTGATCAAACTTTAATACAAGATAAAATACCTATTCAGAATAAGTGTCCAAGCAAAAGCATTGTTATTTACCCAAAATTTAAAAT